ATGACAGAAAGGATACCTCTCTAGACATGCAGCAGCCTGCTCCATTACACAGCCAGGCTGGCTGCATGTCTTTAGGTCACTTTGGCTGCGTGTCTTAAATCTCTTTGGCTGCCTCCACAAAAATCTCCTGCAGCTGCTCATGCCTCAGTTCTTCAGTCTCCGACACTTTCTTTGTCATTTCCCTATCCCTGAGCAAGTAAGTGTTGTTGATTCAAGTTTACACAGACCAGTTATTAATGTGTTTGTGGAACTGCTTGGCACTGGACAGGCCTTTGATGACTTTCTCAAAGAACCAACCTCTGCTTTTACCCTTGCACTCACCTGCAAGCACAGGAGGAAGGGAGGAGGCCCACACTCAGCACACTTCACATAGGGCTCCGTGAGGTATGAAGAGCAACCTCGGCATGGAGGCTTATCAAAAGGGTCATCTGTGAAGCCAAAAGTAAATCTCATGCACCACAAACAAGGCACTGGTTTTGCAATCACCTAAATACACACTCGTCCCCAGTGATTTTAACTCAACTGCATGAAACCCCTTTCCAGACTGCAGCTTCTCCAAGTATCTCTTAGATGTTCCTTGTTCATCTGGAGGCCTTATGTGTGGAGAACACTGCACAGACAGCTGCAGTCTCCCACCCATCGACCTCCAGTCTGACTCCTGAAGCTCAGTGCTGTGGTTGCAAAGGCCTCAACAGGATTGCCCTGTAACCCATCCAAACCTCAGACTCTGCTCAGGTTGCTGAACGAGGAATGAGCCACTACTCTGCAAGTTCTTCTTATTTTGTTCATTGCAAAGTAGTCAAAATAAATAGACCGTCAAGTTAGAAGCCACATTTTTTCCAAGAAAATGGATTTGAACCAGCCCAAATATAAAAAGCAGAGAGAAACGCCCCCCCCCCCCCCCAAATTCCTGAGTCATTAATGTACTTGTGCTTCTGAGAATTTGATCAAAGAAGTGATCCTGTGGAACAAATACTGCTGGTTTTCTGTCTCCCTCCCCCAGGCAGCTGCTAAGGTCTTTAAACAATGGCAAACACTCTCCAAATGTCACCTTAAGGTACTTACTACTGAAGGAGGCCAGGCGCTCCATTCCTCCCCCTTGGTGCTGTTCTTGCCCCTGTGAGCAAGGCCTGTCTTCCTTAAAAGTCCGTAGTGTAAGCCTTGTCCTGGGCAGGGTGTCCAGAAAGGGTGTCCTCTCCCTGGAGATGTCTCTCAGGCAGCTCTTACAGATGAGACTCTCCCAAAGTGTCCTGAACAGAAAAGGAAAAACTCAGCAGTCTTCTTAACAGGGCCCATTGGACATGTCTGAGGGTTTGTTTTCTGTGTGTGAGAAGAAATCAAATGCAGAGAGATGGGATACAGCATAAGAGATGATAAGTGATGGGGATGTCAACCAATCCTGAACAGAGGCTTTCAGTGGGAATGTATGTGCTGAACAGCTGTTGTGCAAGGAAGTGTTCTGGACCTCCAGGAAGCACTGGGAAAAGAACAAACACGGTAGAGGCATCAAGGACACAGCAGTCCAAAAATCTACCACGTTGAAGCCAACCACTCTGAACAGCCCTGATCCACCAGAACCTGCACAGGGAGGTTCTACAGTGCTGTCACTGTCAGGGAATTGAGTTGCTTTCCCTTGTGGGATCTCTAGTCTCACTTCTACAAGGTATTTTTGCTGGGAATGGCTTAGATTTCTCACTTACTGAAGTTCATGTTTTTCTTTCTAGGCTTTTCTCCTTCATGTGCCACATGAGACATGTCCCGTGTCCAGGGACACCACTGAAGCTGTGCAGCCCCTCCAACGACATGGCAGCTGCCTCCACCCTCACTACCCATCCCTGCTCCTCCGCTTGGATATTCAGAGAACCGAGAGCAACTCCCAGCCTGGGCTTTTACCCCACGGCCGTAAGTGACACAGCACAGCCCCTTCTGGGCACCCACTTCCCTCTGGGAATTGCAAACCATTCTAACCTCACCTTCCAGGGCTGCCTGAACCCGCGCGCCAGTAACCCACT